CGCCTGACCCTGGAAAATCTGTCACTTTTCTCTGGAAAAAGGCGGTCAAGAGACGAGCTCGAAATAACTTTGGTGACATGTGATGGATGATTGCCTTTGTTCTCCGTCCGGGGTCAAAGTGGGCCGTAAAACAACAGGATAGAATGGCCCTCCTAATGAGGGTGTTAATGAGCTTGGCGAGATAATAGAAAATGCTGCCGGGTTCAACTTCCTATGAGAGACAGCTGAGAACATCATATAATACAGCTATAAATAAGATAAACTCACCTAATTAAATAGTGTAGCGAATAACAAATAGGTAGCCATTAAGTTAGCTCAAGATTGAAAGTAGAGCAAGTATATTATTATGTTAAGATGTGGTTAGGCATAAATAAAGGTAACACTTTTATAAGAAAACTATTTAGTTAGTTTTATCTTAATATTTACAGTTTTAAATTTGATTTATGGTATATCTTTTGTTTGGTGTTAGTCACTCAGATAACATATTTCCTGACTTAAAAACCTCTTTTAGATTAATCAGACCAAACAGTCGCAGTTTAAAGTCTAGACCTGACCAAACAAATCTAGTTTACTCCAAGTCACAGCGATGATCGCGAATGGATGTCCCGCCAGCCTGAAAAGCTATAGTTCTGGAACCCCCTTTGCAAAAGATAAGTCAATGTCAACTGTGGTAAATTGTTGCTAATATTTGCGCACGAATCCGTCAGCGAAAAGTCGTGCTGAGTCAACAGTAGTCATGCGCCAGCAAAGATCCAGATTCGGATACAGGTACAGGTGCAGATACAGATACAGATACAGTTAAAGATACTGCTCCAGATACAACTACAGATACAGATACTGATAGGGGTGTGACAGCGAAAACCCCGGGACGGTCGCGAGGCTGAATTTATGGATAGCTTTGTTGACCAGCGTGACAGGGGAGCCATCAGATGTCTCCAGGTTCCATACGACAATTTGCCATAAGCCGAAACACCGTCGATGTCATAATCATTCGAGTATTTCCTGAGTTTATCCCCTTGTTTGAGCTGATAGTATCCATTCGTGTTTGAACTTCGGTGGAATAGACGCCTAAGCTAAAGATATAGCTGCATTTTTCATATGTACCATCATAAAAGTGGCCTAAGACCTTAATACCTCGACTGGATGGCTCATTAACATTAAAGTGACCGCTAAGTCACAAGGGGAAATTGCACACTCCAGATAATTTTGGATTAGGCGCTTTGGCAACTAATTAGGGACAGCTGGTGGACTTATGGCACTGGCCATTAACGTCACACAATATCAGCTGATATCGGCAGGAAGGACTTGAGACTCGAGTATCGCTTGGAAGAGCCAAGGGCAATAAACGAAAGTATCTAAGGGTTGAGTTTGTAATCGGACATGTGCTTTGTCTACATTTTCTAGAAATATTGCTTGATAAGAACCTTTATATTCTGTAGATCTTACAATTTTATTTTACCTTTATACGTTTTATACTGTAACCGAAGTCGCTAGTGTTTTGATACATTTTGTAATAAGACTTGAGGCACGTCTTGCAATTGTTTCAGAAATTATTGCCTGTTGAAACGATTTAATTTACTATTCAAGTTCGTTCTTGTTTTATGTTTCCCCAAATATAATTCATCACGAATTCTTGTGTGCAATTAATTTCTAAGGCTCTGTCTTTTATTTGCCCAATAAATCTTGGGATTTTGGAGCATGGTAGATGTCTCCTTTAAGTGCATACTATTTATATACATTTATTTATGCCTGACCGAGGTGAGCCTTGTGTGGTTTCCTTGCAGCTGCGGCACGTTCCGAGTGCAGAAGGATTTTCTTTGGGGATCGAAACGCATCCTAGGTCACCGCTTCTGGCCAGGTTGGCATGCAAATGGCCCACTTTTGTGGTGCACCGTGTCATGCAATCCTGGGTTCATTGACCGACCAGAGGTCATCGAAGGACGTCAGCGGGCTGACCCTTGCCCCTCCCCCTTTTCCATTTTCATGCCGGGCACGCAATGACATTGACATGCGTTGGCTTAGCAGGACGCTCAGGTTGCGGCCAACTGCAAAAACCACCCACAACCCCCCTCCTTAATCAAGCAGATCCGCTGTACGTGCCCGTACTTATTTATTGGCCAGTGGCACTTGTTAGCCAAGGCCTGAATTCACCTGCGAGTTGGCTAAATATAGCCGCAACTGGGTCGTCGAAAGTATGCAACACTTCTTGGCCACTGAAAGGAAATTACAGAACACCACACAACGTAACATGGAAATCTGGGGGCTCGTGTCAGGGGATTACTTTAAAATCGATGGTTAGATTTTAATATACTCAAGCACAACCACGTGTGCCAGCCACGTGTCTTTGTCTTCGCTCATGCAAATAATTCAATTCTGTTGATGGTTTTGCTCAAGAGCGATTCCCCAAACAGCTTATGAATTCCCCGCCCTTTAACCATGACCTTGAGAATTAAGAGGATGCATGTGTTTTCAAAACCACTGAGGTTGCCAGCCCTACGCTTCTATCTAAATATTTAGACTGGGAAAAATAGTCTTATATTACCTCATATTACAAAGTAAAATCAATTTAAAGCTGAAAGTATCATAAAATACTAATAATTCAATTATTGACTAACATTATATCATATCATTCCCTAACTTAATGGTATTTTGTGTAACTTATTTTTTTTTTATTCCTAACTTTGATGATGGATTATTATTCCCTGTGCACACAAAACATTCTCCACTTAAGCACATGTCACTAAGGCACATGTGGAAGAGGTCTTGGGGGAGTTAAGACTTAAGCTGGAATACCTAATTGGCACACTTGAAACTGGTTCGTGTTCTTTGCCCTCCCACACAGACACATGAAATACTGATTTTCCGGCTGTAATTGTGTACCCTTTCTTCGCAATTGTATAATAAGATTTATATCTAAGACAATTGAGCATTTATTCACCGCAATGTACCAGTTATCAGACAGTCCAGTTTCAGTGGCACGCCAACAAATATACATATAATTTACTGTGTGGAATTTAGATCTATTGTATATAAACGAGTGTGCATGATATTTGGGGTAAATATATCAAGAAATTGACGACAGAGGTGCTCAATGCATTTATTCAAAATTGAATTTGAAAATTTGAAGTCCAAAGAGATAAAAAATACATCATATTACTACAGAAAGCAATAAAGTCGGGTAATACACTTTTAAAAGCTTCTCAAATAGCAACCCCTAGCCAATAATATTTCGTAATAAATATTATCTGAAGTGTTTATGTATTTTGTTTTCTACTTGCAATAACGAAAACTCATTATTCTGTTTGACTTGCCATTTGCTTTTCGAAACTTGCGTTTTGTTTACCGCACAACGTTAATGATCTGTGCCACGTGCTGTGTAAGCGCGATTAACAAAAATTGGTCGTAAATCAAATACTATAGGGACACAATCACCATTCTATGGGGCTAAACTAAGCAACTTATTATATTCAATTCTTCCGAAATTGCAAACGTGATTCTCCGGACACCTATTCAATTTCCTATTTACCGTAATGGCCGCTTTACAGGGAGCACTTTGAATAGTTGGGCAAAGTGAATACACAATGATTCACTGGCTATTTCCATTTCTATTCATACGAACTGTGGGCATGTGACACCTTGCACTTTGCGCTGATTGTGTTTGCACTCGCTCTGCTTGGAACACAGTTGCCCAGGTGCAAAGGGGGCGACGGGGTTCAGATACAGATGCTAGCACTTGAGGAAAAACAAAAATAACTGGGGAAAACCCAAAGATTCTTACAGAAAAATGCAATAGCTAATATTTGGATGAGAATTGTTTTGATTGAAAACGGAAATTATAAAAATAGAAGATTCTAAGATGAAATTATTTCAGAACGGAACTATTTTTGAGATATGTATAGCAATCAATTCTCTATCTTTAAAACATATTTCCATTTTAAACAGAATGTCTAATATATACTTAATCTAATTTGTTATTAGCTGCAAGACATACAGTTTAGTTTCATTCCCTTTATAAGATTTATTAGGTATCGTTCTAATTTAATTTCGTTTTATCTTACAAAGTGCTTAAAGCAGCGAATGGAAACCCACTAAAAGAGACAGAGGAGACTAGAGCTGGCAAAGGTGAAAGATTTATGATGCAAATTGTGTGCGACACTATCAGCTGACATTGCTTTATCACTGGACAATATATCACGAAGAACTTTTCTATGGGGGGTTAACATGGTTTCTACCATAGTTGTCAATTTACGATACTGACATTTGATTGATTGGCAGCAAACAGGGGCTCACAAAAGGGGATTGCACACCTATGTTTTAAAAAAATACTTGTTGAATAAAACGAATACATACAAATATTTCTAAATAGTTACAAATTTCAAAAAATGATTATGGTAACATTTTTTATCTATTACCCCCCATTAAGAAATCCAGAGTACGCCCTGTTATCGATAGGGATCTCCTTTTGCTTTTGCGCACTTCCTGCCGGGCAGACATCTTTAATTCTCTTTGTGCTTTAAAGGATTTTCCACCTGTTGTCTTTCGCGCCCCTCTTTCGTACCCCTCTCCTTCTCCTCTATGCTGCCCCTCCCTCGTCGCTTTCTCCGGCGAACTTCTGCCGGCAATCACATGGCGCCAACATCTGTTAGTCAGCAGCGCAGCGGCAGCGCAGCCGGCGACCTTACGACAGATTTGGCAATGCTGTAAAGCAAAGCAAAAGCACACGGGCAGCAGCAGCAGCAAAAAAGCACGAGCAACAACGAAGCAAACGCCGACGCAGCAGCGACGCCTCGTTTGGCCAACTCGATAAAAAAAAAAAATTATGTGTGCTAGATGACACTACCGGTCGTGCTTGTTGTCGTTGTTGCTGCGCGGCTGCTGCTGCGGCGCTTACTGCGGCGGCTGCTGCTGCTGCTGCGGCGTCTGTTGTTGCTGCTCGCTTTTGGATAATAAAACAGGCAACGCGCACTCGAGCGCCAAGTCAATTTGCGAACGCCGCTCGCTCACAACGGTGGCGCAAAACAAAAAACAATAAGAAATAAAAAAAAAACATTTAAATAAAAACAAACGGTAATAGCTCTTCTTCATTTGCCACCCCCACAACCCACCTGCCATCACTCTCGCACTTTTGTTCCCACGTTTTGCGCATGCGTGCGCGAGCAAAGCAGAGCAGCAAAAGCAAAAGCAAAAGCAGAAGCAGAAAAGCGAAAATAACAGACCGAAATCCAAATCAAAACCAAAATAAATCGCCAGTCTCCAACTCGTCTCGTCCACAGCAGGTCCACTTCGAAAATCGCGCGGTTCGCGGTTGGCAGTTCGAAATTTCCAAAGTTTCGAACGAAAGTCGCGGGCGTTTCGAACGTGATAACACTAAGAATTCGCGTAAATTCGGTAATCAACGGAACCAAAAACCCAGAGGAACTTAATAATTGTGTGGGTATAGTTTCAAAATATAATACAAATAATATCCAAAGTTACTGGGGAAACTCTCGAGTGAAAACGGCTTGTTGCTGTCATTGTTATTAGTTATTTTACGTGTTTCCCGTTTATGGTCTCTCGCACCTCAGACGAGAGAACCCCAAAATAAAATGTTGACGGCACTTAATTTGCATAAAAAAAAGCTCAGCGCTTAAATATGAAATTATGGAAATATTCCAACAAAAACATGCAACAAATTATCGCTCATACATTTTAAAAGCATAAGCTCTGCTCGTCATCTCACTCGGCTGGAACTTTATAAACAATTCCCGGGACAGTGTATTTTGGAAATATTTATTTATCCAAAATATTGCAAGCCAAAATTGTTCTAAAAATATTAGAGCGCAGTGGGGAAACTCTGGCCAAAACAGCAGGATATTCAGTGCAAAAATCAGAAAAATACAATTTACTTGAACCCTAACATGAGTCAGAATTTGCAAGTGCTTATAGTAATGAAAATTGTGTATAAAACTTTTAATGCTGATTAGCTTTAAATGTGTCATTGAATATTCTGTAATCAAAATTACTATTGTGCTTTTTAAGTGTTCTAAGAAGTGTAAAAAGAAAATTATGAAGAACAACTTTACAAATATTGTTCTTGTAACGGGGTAGATTTTCCTAGTTTATTAACAAGAGAGAACTAAATAAAAGCTGATTGATTGAATAAGTATAATTAATAAGACAACTATTATTATTCGGAATTTTCCTAACTAATTTCCCTTAAAAGAAAACTAAATAAAATCTGAACGGTTACAAAAGGTGAAATAACTAAGATTATAATATTTGTTCTGTGATTCTCTAGACATGTTTCTAGATCTCTAAAAAAAAAGAAAAACAAAGTACAATTAAATTTAAACAATACAAATGTAACTTTTTCAGTCAAAACATTTACGCAATCAACGCAAATTATAATTAACTAATTGCTTGCGTATTAATAAATAAAATAGTAAACATAGTTTGACTTGTTTTGTTTATATTTAAACAGTAAAAAATCATAGTATTTCTAAAGTGATATATAAATTATAACTAACATACCTATAAAGTTTATGTGGGCATACAAGACAGTCTGCCATACACCCCCATACCGAAAATATTCCATTGAAATCTTGAAATCTATAGATATTTTCTCACTGGAAACTCCACCAATTATAGCATAGCTGTAGCAAATTTTTCTAATAATTCATAGAGCTATGGGCCACTATATCGCCAGTTGGTCCCAGTCGAGCCAAGCACCCCCAGACGGCATGATAACGATAATAAACTAAAACCGCAGTTTGCAAAGTAGAATTTACGAATTGGCTAACCACAAAATGATACGAACTTTAGGACTTTGTTAAGTGTGTTAAAAAGATTGAAAGCGGGAAACGGGAGATAAAAAGTGTGAACTTAATAATGAGATGTGGGCGGTGTGACAATGTCCAGGTTTGCCCCCCAGATGTTTGATACCAATATATGTGCCTGTAAACTGAAGTCTAATCCGCATTCGTGTTCCGTTTTGGTTGCAGATAACAACGTGGCCGCCAGCAAAGAATCATCCATGATTGGCTCGGACCGTTGCAGACTGCAAAAGAAACGCGCCCTCAATAGCTATTCAAATTTTCCCTTATAACGATTACTTCAACCCAAAGTCGGCGACAACTCGAGGACATATATACCAAAGATATCGCAGTGCAGCCAGTTAATTTAAACTATTAGACGTAACTAGTCAATGCCAAAAATGATAGTGGATAAATCGGAACTAGTGGGCGAGAATGCCTGGGCGAAACTGTTGCCCGAGGAGAAGGATAAGGCCATTATAGTCAAAATGGGCGGCAGCAGTAGTAATAACAACGACTCCAAGGAGACCACGCCCCTCAATGTGGATCAACTGGTGGCAGCCACAAGTCCTGGAGTGCCAGTGGAGCAGGTGGCGGTCTGCCCAGAGGAAATCTACAAGCGCACCTCCACCTATGCCTCCAATATCAATTCCACCGGTGGCGAGTCCAGTGGCAGTGGCACACAACTTTCCCGCAAGGAGTCCATCTTGGGCAGCTTCCACCGGCAAATCCGGCGATCCATCAAAGCCGTTAGCGAATCCCCCGGTCCACTTACCAGGTGAGTGAGATAAGATCTCTCTTGTGTCTTGGCCAACGCGGCGTATGAGTAATATACCATTACTCATACGCCCTGTTGCTTGCGGTTTTGGGAAACAAGGTTGTTTCTTTCATTTCGAAACTATAACAAAAAGACTATATTATTGTCTTCTAGGTATTTCAAAATCAATATTGTCTCTTCGCTATTTTAAAAACAATATTGATGGATATTTGTTTTTATTAGCAAACTCTATTAGCGAACAGAATAAACATATTGGAAATTTCTTATTAACTCAGCCGTTTTAAATGTTAGATGATTCCAATTGTAAGGTGTATTCAAAGAATCAATATTTAACCTTTAAATGTCTTACATTGTTCTGTTAATTTTTTTAATGATACAAACAATTAGTTTAATTCTATTATTTTCTATTTTTAAATTTTTGGGTTCTAGGATTTTTAGGATTTTTAGGATTCTAGCTAGCAAATATTGCTTAAAAATGTCTGTGAATTTTAGTTATTTATGGGTTGAAAAGCTTAGTACATTCCATCTTTTAACAAATAAATTGCGTAACAGCTTCCAAGAAGTTCTTAGTTCCGCTCTGAATAACTAAACTAATAAGCTCAAATAAAAGTGTTTGTGAATTACACAAATGCATGTCTATAAAAATCGAGGCATTTTGTGGAAGTTTCCAAGAATCTGCAGTCATGCAAGTGGTCGTATACAAATATATCCGTGCCCACACATCTCGATGGCAATGTGTTGTCGGTAAACAAACAGCATTCGGTGCACTTCCCCCTGACTGGATTCTATGTGGTTTTTTTCTCTTGGCTTTTTGTCATACGTATACCCGTCCATTGATAGCTGTACGACTTGTAGGTTATTTTGATATGCAAATGGAGGTGACGTCTGTTGGTCAGTTGGTCGCACTCAGAATGGAGAACCGAGAATGGAGAACCGAGAACATAGCACCGAGAATCGAGTCACTAGAGCGAGATAAACCTTTTGACTTGATTGCCTGAAATGACAAAATTGAATTATTTTGATTTGAGCGCCGACAGTGGGTGGACAATTAAATATTATTTCCGCCTGTTGCTTCTGGCTCAGCGTGTGTTACAGATTCAGATACAGTTTCAGATACAGATACTGGCTGCCTTAATTGGGTATGGAGTCTTGTTTTCTGCGATTCTGCGTCTTGTATGTAGTTCTAACCGTGCCCAAATGAACGCCCCTGACATTACGCGCATTTGTTTACCGATTACCGAGCACTAATGCCGCGGCAACTCCAATCTGTTTATGAGAACGTTCTCCCAGAGAACAAACAATCCGAGAACCGGGTACTGGGTACCGAGAGTCAACGACTTGCACCTGCCCCTGCCTTGACATAAATTTGCATAATGCGCCTCGGAGCCTCGAATTCTCGATTTCGGTTTGGCAATCCACTAATTCACTTGCCCATAAGTTAATTAAAAACGTGTTAACTGCTCGGTGGGCCGCAGTTGCTCACACTCGCTTTTCGATTGGCCGAATGCCAGACTCAAGAATCCGAGAATCCGAGAATCCGAGGGGATTTCCTACACATGTGGATGCCGAGAATTATGCTTTCTGCTCGCGGACACTTGCTATAAATAGACATTGAGTGCTTTCGATGGTGATAAATATGTATGTATTCCCTGCGGCATTCGACACACTTTCTTCCGCAGAGCGCAATCTTTGTCTGCGGCCCTCGGTGCGTATGATTGATATTTTGCCTCATTTCCGCCGACAATTGATTTGGGCAATATTGGCGCGGTCGACGATCGTGCGCCACTCGAGCCTGTCCGAGCGCCTCTAGCCGATTGCTCACGATTCAGCGAAATTAATTATTTTTATTATGATAGATCCATTCGATAAGTAGCCGCGGAATCACCGCTCAACGACCCGCTGATTGTGACCACTTGGGAGTGGGTTGGGCGAGATCGAACGGCCAATTATCGCTCTAACGTTGTAAATTGATCTACGGATAGAACTGGAATTGTTTAATCGTTTTACAAGCAGTTGTAAATACTAACATTAGCTAAAGGTCTGCGCGCTTTAACCTTTTAGTAGACCCTCTGTAATTTACTCTTAGCAAACTACACTGTAATATAAGGAACGTCAGCATTTAGTGAGTGTATAGACAGTCTTTATAATAATTATAACTTCATATTCTTTTTACAAACAAAAAACCCTATCCTTTAATATAACACAATCATGTGACATTAAAGGCTTTTTAAAAGAAAAACTCAATGAGATTGGTCACGTGCAATTAAGTATCTCATTTGATAAGGAAGTCAAATAATCTTTAACTTTCAGTGATCATTTCAATCAGATGTCAAGCTTTAAAGTCAAAATGTCATTAAATCTTAGAATAGATTAAGTGTTACTAATATTGCCTTACAGCCTTTATACACATTTTGAAGACCGGTCCAAAATCAGCGATTTTGTCATCAAACGTAAACTTAAAGAATAGATGTTCTGATTGACTGATTGATCTATCTCTTGACTTGTACATCATGTGATTACAAAGTAGTGATATCAGAAATAGGAACCACTAGAAGTTTGCAAATAAATAATTGAAGGTTTAGTTGCAGAAGTAAAGTTACAATTACAGAAATAGGTATCTATAGGACTTTAGGACTTCCGTCTAACAAGGAATACAATGAAGTGATACTGAGCCCATATGCACAAATCATTTGATCCTCGAGCTTAATTGAAGAGAGCAAAAGTGTGTTTGAGGGCTTGATCCATCTGTCGACTTGTCCATGAGTCCGTCAGGTGATTACAGAGAGTACTGGAAATAGAACGACTGGCAATTCTGGTCGTGTGCAAAGACGTATCGCTGATATCAAGTATCAGGGCGATCGAGAGGCGACTATAAATGTGTCGCAATGCAAACGTAACTTCTTCACGGGATGTTCGTCAGGAGTCACATGCACTGCGGAATCTATTTTTGGGCGGGACCAGAGATATGGAGTCTTTTCCGAGTGCCGCTAATCACCTAACGAATGGTGATTGAATAAGCAGACGTGCCCGACTTGATTATCGCATATCGTGGATAGTATGCATATATGTACTTATATACGAGAGCTCACTGGTATGCATAAATATTTACACACATGTCGGCATTCATGGCACTAATGAAACTGCAGTTATAAATTGAGTTATATGCGCGTTAATTGGCGAAAATCTTTAAACTTGATTGTCATACGGACTCGGTTTACCCCCCTCCCCAGCAGTTTCCGACTTATGAATATATAAATTTTAAGTGTCTTTTGTCTCTGGCGATTTATTTAAACGATCGACTGTCATGGCGATGTAACTGTTTATGGACTGGCGGCGAATTCGGAGAGTTAATTATTTGATTTAAGGGCGAATTAAAGGGGAACAGTGAGAGAAAAATAAAGATAATAAAGAGGCTTAAACTAAACAATTTTAATTTGAAATGTAAACAGTTTATCTGGGTTAAGTCTCATGATTTAACAGCTTTATGGTGGAGAAGGAAAGAGATAGAGGAAAGCAGCAAGGCACTAAATGAATCAACCTCTTTCAAAAAGGTTATTAACATCTTGAGCTCCTGATTCTTTCAGTGTATAAAGGAGAGTTATTCCTGCCAGGCTCTCCCCCCTCTCTCTCTCTCTCTTCCTCTCTCTTATGTTTTCCCTCTCTTCTCAGCTCCTTCCGTTAATCTCTCGCCACAAAAGAAGTGAGCTGAATTTATCAGCTGTTGTATTTCATGCCTGAGAGTGTTTGCCAGCCGGGCGTATGTGTGATTTTAGCAACACGCTGTTGCTGTTGTCACTCCGCTGTGTTTGTTTTTGCTTTTGCTTTTGCCTTTGCTCTGCTGCCGCACTGCCGCCTCGCTTTGCTCTGCTGCTCTGCTTGGCTGCCTTGCTGCTATCGCGTCTTCCACTTTAGACTGAAAATAATAAAAAGCAACAAAGCTGTCAACCGAACGTTTCAGTTTGAGTTCAGCCGTCTTCGCAGAAAGTTATACACCTGCGCCGCGCTCTCGCTCGCTCACTTTGGCCGCGTGCTCTCCGCCTCCGTCTCTCTCGCCCGTTGCAAGATCCCCGGTGGCGCAGCAGAGAGCTATTTAAAACGCTTTACGTGCCACAACATTGCTCAGTGCTTAAAAAGACACCGTTACAAGCAGTTCTACAATTGTTTACCGTTAGCCGCAAAGTGCCACCCATTAGCCCCAAAAATAACAGAAAATTAAATACAAAATTATGCTCGCCTTTGTTTACTTCAAAATAAAAACCATTTTTGCCTTTCCCACCACGAAAAGAACGCATTTGTGATAAAGAGCCAACAAAAAATTCAGAAGGGAGCAAAACAACCCGCAAAAATTTATCGAAAATACATAAAAAAGTTTGCTAAAATAAAAATCCACAACCGAAACCTGCCTCACAGTACACACTAACACACACACACGAGAGTTTATCCAACGATAACGTCATCCGCTTCGTCAACAGTATTAAAGTTAATCTGAAAAGTGCTCGAATCTTTTGTTTTCAATCATTATAATTGTAATAAAACAACTACAATAAAATAGCAAAATTATAAATAATATAATAGCAACAACAACTGTAGCCAAGGTTGCAGCGAACATTTGTTTTTGTTGCTTTCGCCGTGTGGAGGAGCTGTCAACTCAACATTTCTGCCGACGCCGCTGTTGCCGTTACATTTCAGTTGCTGCCATCGCCATCGCATAAAAGCCAAACAGAGAGCGCCGAATCGCGGCAGAAACAGCAGCAATTTACATAGCTTAATACACGTTATACAACGCAGCAGCGCGTGCCTCGCCCGCCAGTGCAAAGTCCCGAAAACCCAGACCCACATCCAGATCCAAAGCCTCGAGTCCATAAAGATAACACCACGAAATTCCTTTCGGCCATAATGAAGCGCCTAATGACCTGGGAGCGCGATCTCGTGGATGCCATGTACGAGTAAGTTGGTAGTGGCCTAAGCACACTCACCAAAACACACTTAAATACTAGGGC